AAAGGGACATTCCACACCATGTGACGTCATGCTCAGTACATAACTGGGGAAAGCTGGCCGGGGGGGCCGCTGCTCGGGGACTGGCTGGGCATCAGTCGGCGGGTGGTGAGCAACTGCACTCTGCATCACTTGCTTTGTGTATTCTATTATTATTATTTTCCCTTCCTTTTCTGTCCTATTAAACTGTCTTTATCTCAACCCACGAATTTTTCTTTTTTTCCCCCCCGATTCTCTCCCCCATCGCAGTGGGGTGGGGAGGAGTGAGCCAGCGGCTGTGTGGTGGTTAGCTGCCTGCTGGGTTAAACCACAATTGTGTATGTACAACTGCTATGAGATAACTGGGCAGTCATAAGCACATCAGTAGGCATTCTGTTATGTGCTGCTGCAGGTCTGGTTCTGAGCACTGAATTCTTGCGTTTCAGCCTTTTTTTCTTTTTTTTTCCCCTTTGTTTCTTTGTCACCGATGTCCCTGTAGAGGAATTGCGCTAGCTTCTGGTAGGACTAGTTCAAGACTCCCACGGAACTACTTGGGGCACATAAAGGCATATGATGATGGGTTGAGAGTCTTGGTCCAATTGTTGGGTTTTTTTAGTACCACTGCAAAGCTTGGCTGAGCATCAGAAACCAGCACCGGTGACTGTTGTGCTCAAGCAGCAAAGCATTAACTAAACTAAACTAGTGTGTCTATTGTTCTGTAACTATGCTACAGGGATTTTAATCTCTTTATTTAACTAGGTCAAAAGGAAACTATACGGCTGTGTGCTTAAAAGATCAGAGTTTAACAGGCCTCCACCAACAGCTCGCCAAAGACTTTTTAAACACTCATCTCTACGGACCAGACACCAACCGGGCACAGGGTAAGCAGTTTTCCTTCTTAGGTGGGTCTGCATCTAGATTTGTCGGTGTCACACTTGGTAATTAATTAATGCTCATCTCCATTTCAGCAAATGAATTTTTTTCCCTTGAAAATAAGAAAAACCCAGTTAAAAAAGCTGCAGTTCAGTTTGTGGACAAGTCTTGGGGTGAGTATAGAAAGTCAAAGCAGGTGCTACTGTATGTGTATGTGGTTTAAAGTACACTGTAAAAAAAAAAGCTTTCTCCTGTTAGAGGGCTGCATCTTGCTACCTCGTATCTCAAAGAACCTCACAGTAAGAGAAGGGCAGCAGGGCACTGCAGCCTGAGTGGGTGTAGCAAGCGCTCTGCTGGGAAGGGTGTGCAAGACAGAATTTGAAAAAATTACCTCATTTTTGGTGAGCATCTGGGTCTAGAACCATGTTTGCTTGTTGAAATGAATACTCTAATTGTTGTTTCAGCCTACAATCCCTGAGCTGTTGTTGGAAGTCATTTCAGACGTGTAAAACTTAAACCAGGGATGTCAAATCCCGAACTTCTGTGTGAGCACAGGGAAATAGTGCCTCTTTCTCCTCGTAAAAAGTGACGTTACAGAAATGAATGGGGACAGACTCCTACAGGCCTCAGTTACAGCCACACTGCTGTACCCCCTGCCCTCCTTCTGAAGGAGATGATGGGCACAAGTTGGTGCCCTGGCCAGTGGAAGCCAGCTGTTGTATGTGAACTATGATAGGAAGTTTATCAGCTTTCCAGCTGGTTCTTCTGTTCTGAAATGCTGCAGTAGATGGGCTAAGACAATGGTAACTAACAGCCTTTTTTTTTTTTTAAGGGCAAGAAAAAAAGCAAAGAGCAGCAAGGTTTAAAAAACGTTGGCTCTCAACGCAGATTAAAAATTGAGTATGAAGACAGCTTTTTTCAGAAGATGCTATTAAGGACTTCTGCTGAAAGTTAGTCTCTCAACACAACAAAGGTGTTTTCTCCCCACTTCTCCATCATCGCTCTGCTTTCAGCTCCAGCCACCAGCTGGCACTGATCTTCACAAAGCTGTGCCTGAACTGACCTCCCTGTTCTCTTCCCTCCCCTTTCAGAAGGGGTCAGGGAAGCTAAGAAACAGCTGTGTATCCTTAACACTGACTTAGAACAGCTGGTGTTACAACCAGCCTTCTAGAGCTGGGTGCTGCTCTGTGAGGCAGCTCCTTTGCAGAGAATAAAGATGAGCGATGTGGTACTTACTGGTCTGGATGCTGCATTTCTTACAACAATCCGTTATTCCTGCTTTTTCAGTGATTTGCATCTCTAAAGAAAGGCTGTATCCTAAGACCAGAATCATTAAGTTGGTTTGTGGAGCGGGGACACTACTGTCCAGACTGATGAGTACTTTACTTTCACAGAATAAGGTTTTTTTCCCCCATCTTCAGGGAGGAGTGAATGAGCTTCCAGCAGCACCTTGACTTTGCCCTGCTAGCTAGACTTGCTTCATGGCAAGAACACAGTAAACCTTTAACTTCTGACAGCCTGGCGCAGTGCTCTGGCACAGGGAAGTGGCATCCCCGGTTCGACCAGTGAGCCATCATGCTGAATGTGTGGGTCTACATGAGAACAGCTGTTCTAGGATAGAACTCTAGAACCAGGAAAATGTAGCATACAAGTCCATGCTACCATGTATGTAGAAGTAAGTTTTTAATGGCTGGTTAATTATGGTATCACTACATTTTATTGCAATATAGTACTATTTAAGCACTTTTAAAAATGCAAGGTGTACAAAGATTAAATTAAGACTGTAAATTGACTAAATATTTGGTTTTTATATAAATAGGTCATAACCACACTGTGTTGACATGTAATACTGTTATAATACAACAGTTAAACTGGTGAGTCTACACAACAGAAGCTGTCTGTAGTTAAACAAGGAAACAAAGTTGAAGACCGTGTTAAAACAAAAAACTACTAAGATCAACAGGTTGGGATTGTAAGTAGCAACAAACATATTCACTCAGCTCCTGAGTAATTCAAGTTTTACAGTACACATTAAAAAATATCATTTCTTCCCATCAACACTATATATCCAAACCATCAGGTGTTTTATGCATTTTGTAAATTACACTGATTGAACTATGTAACAATGGGGGTGGAGGTTGGCAAGTCATCCTGCTTGACGTTTACGTCACCCACATGCTAATACATCCACATTTTCCATTCTTCCGTCCCACCACAAGGTAGCAGGATTTTTGGTTTGTTTTGGACAATCGTTTAAAGGATCTGTACGTGTCAATTTGGATGTCTGACATTATCAGTGATGTTGTCAACTCTTAGTTGTCTAAGAGGTTTAAAGATGGACATTTTCTCCTAACGCTAAGTTAGAAATCATTTGCATCATGCTGTAAACTAGGAAGCAACATAAAGCGACAGACTTGTCCTTAGTACATAATTAAAATTCCAAATTCCAGTCAGCAGAGCTGGTCTACCTTCCACGTTGAATATGCCACACCACCTTTCAGCTCTTCAAATGCATAGCTAGTGTAGGTAGTCTTCCACCGTGGCGAACGCGCAGGATCCAATTCCCGATCGAGCCATCAATCCTAGACACTGAGACGCTTGTCCCATTGCTAGGGCAAGCGGTGGTTGCTTTGGCAGATTGTGAGTCTCTGAAAAAGAATCACGGCAGTTAAAATACTGATTAATTTTATAGTAATGCACTGAAAACAAATTTTAAGCTTGCTTAAATCATTCATTTCAAAATTCATGTGCTCACTTGCAAAGTTTGCTCTTACAGCAAGACAGCAGGAGCAACAAAGCCACATTTTCAAATTCCCTGTGTAGCACCGTTATTGAACAGGTCCATTTTTGCTTTGAACAACAATGATGACAACAATTACATCTGTTACATTAACATGCCCCGCAAACGACCCCTCCCTTTTACTGAAAGAGCGTACCGTAACATTGCTATACTGTGCTCATCACTCAGCCAGCCCAGTGCTAAGCCCAGCAAATGATGCGTGGTGAGCAGCAGTGCTACCTGTCGGGAACAAAAGGCACCCCGTACCACGCGTGAAAGCCACCAGCCCTCACGTACCTAGTATTGCACTATTGAGTACAGAGCACACAGGTTCTCTTTGTATCGGGTCAAGCTGATTTCCAACAGGGCTGCTCCAGGGATCTGAATATGCAAGTAAACTGAATGCATCCTGTGGAAAGATGATTTTCATTAACTTCTCGCAGTAATATTCTACTAGTGAAAACAAGGACTATTTTCTTCACCCATTTTGATTCAGAATCGCAAAGGTGATTGTCAGTGTCCGTCATCAATACGAAAGGATAAAAAGTAAGCGTAGCAGGACTTGTTCCATTTTGAGCAAGCAGTGTTTTTCCCAACAGAAAGACAAACGTTCGTTAGCAGTATTTTAGTAAGTGATGGGGAAAGAGAAAACAGATTGAAAATTGCATGCAGTCGGTCTTTGGCAGGGGAATTCTTTTCCAGAGCGGTCTCAAATCAAGGTAAACCAATTAACACACAGAGTACTAAAGAGAGCACGTTAGATGTCTGTATCAATCCTCTTTCTTGCAGTTCATTTATCATTAGAGCTGAACGCAGCACTTGGATTCAAGAGGCCAAGCTATGTGGTCAGAAATGAGATGGAGGGAAGTGCTAAATTCATCTCTGGTTTTACTTGCATTACAGTATGAAATTATCTTCCCTGTGAATGTGCTACACAGACAAGACAGGAGACAGTGCTACACCACAGCTGACTAGAATACTGCTCCCCCCCCCCCCAAAAAAAAAC